CTTGAGGATTTTCTGGTCACCACACTTCATTCCAAAAATTAATGTGGGATTTACATTCAATTTCAATCTGCATTTTGCAGTCAATGAAGCGAACCAAGTCTTTCTGAAATCAATGAATTTTTCCTTTTTTTTTATTCCCGTTGAAAGGTTTCGAGCGCAATCCTCGTTCTCCATGAAACAAAAGGCTAACACATAATAGCAAACCTTTTCGCCGCTTGAGGCCCTTCTGCCAATCCTTCTGCATTTCTTGGCTCTTCAGAGACTTTCAGTGGTCCTAGAAAGGAAGGCAAAAGAGACGCCTCGGTCAGCTTGGAATTCGAAAAGCTGTGGTGCCTAGGCAAGAAAATATGAATCATTGAATGGGAAAAGATTATTGTGGAGGAATTTTCTGGATATTTTATTCGCCAGTTGCTTCAGAAAATAGTTCTAGCACCATCCACAAAAAGTTACGCAGTCAACGTTGGTCAGAAGACAGGGATTTAAAGACGATTATTTCTTTGAGGCTCTGCTTCGTTATTTGGTCTATTTTAGTCTTGAGCCCGGTGTAGGCACCATGGAATGGTACCTTGTTTCGTCGCTTTGCCGTCATTGGTCTCAAAGGGTGATTTTCATGGAGAATACTGTAAGTTAAGGTCAAAAATGTTTCCCATCCGCGGACCCATATGCATAGACAGAACAGGTCTTTTTGGCATGTGATCTTTTCCTTGAAAGGAGGCCAAAAATATTAAAGGGAATGACGAGGGTAAACGATTAGTATGAAATTCTTCATGAGACACTCCGCTGGGCAGTTCGCCCGTCTTCGGTCTCATGCTCAATCCTCTGCCAGAGAGGCAAGGGAGGAACTTCCAAGCATTCTTCCCTTTCATCCTATCGAAGTGAAAACGGGAAACTCATTTGCATCCAATTAAAATGGCTCATCAGTTGCCAACCTTGACGACCGGTCTCTTCCTCTCCCGTGTTTTTCATGTGATTTCGATCCCGAGGAGGCTGGAGGAGATGCGGACGGAGAGCGAAATGGCGCCCATTCTCTGCTCAACAAGCGGGAAAATGAGAGTTCGCACTTCAATCCCCCAAGAATAACGTCTATTGAGAGATTCTCCAATGTCTCTATTTGCCGAGAATATGGCGAGGATTCAGTAGGCTTCGCCAATTCCCTTTCTTCAAACGCCTTCCCGTCACAAAAGTGAATCTTCTCATATTCAGAACGAAATTGGGCATGCCTCTTCCACTCTCAACGCAGGATCGCTGCGGCAAATTTGAAGCTTAAATTCCCCCAAGTTGCAGAAAACTTTGGGTGCATGCAGTTAATATCCGAGTTATTACTCGGGGCCTCAAAAGGCAAGTACCAGGTAAGTACCTTGCACGCAACCGGGCAAGGGGGCTCCATTGGACTCCCTATTACTCCAAGTATATTTCCTGCAGGAAAACAGGAGGAAAAAACTCGCTTATTACGAAGAAACGCCTTTCCATGATAGATCCCGATGAATTTAAAAATTAATGCAAATTATTTTGCATTCCCAACGATTTTTTTTCTTTTTCGAGCAACATTTGGATGGTAAAACTAAAAGGTGAAACTTTCCGAATTTTTAAACTTTTAAACTTTACCGCCTGCTTACCTGTAATTTACCTAAATTTCAGTCCCCCACTTTTTCACCTGCGTTTACATTTTCCTTTCACCTGTAATTCGCAAATTGTTCAGGATACATTTTACATCTGATTTATCTCCTCTTTTTACATGGAAAGTAATACCCACCTCATATGATTGGAGTCACATTAAGCCCGACGCCATGAATAACATATGAATAACATATGAATAACTTATGAATAACATATGAATAACATATGAATAACTTATGAATAACATATGAATAACATATGAATAACATAGGCTGATGTGAAAGATTGACCTGCAAGAAAGTCACATAATATTGTCGCAAATATGCATTTCTGAAGCTTGCGACTTTGCGGTCTGGTCGCTTGTCTACGAATTCTGAATGAATTTTTTCATTTGGCCTATTCCTAGCTTCATAATCGAAAGTCCATAGACCAAGAAATTAGCCTAGCCTAACGTGAAAAGAAACAAACCTCAACACAACACGAAGAACGTTTTTCGGATTGAGCCGAACCACTGACACTGGCACGACTCGACGTCACGACATATATACATATACTTACATATATATACATATATATATACATATACATAAATATATATGCATGTACTTATATACCATATGGGGAATGACGTTGGTCAAAGACGTCCCATTAGAATGGTATTTAAAGAAATACAAGTGCCAATGTGCTAGGGGCGGAATTCTCCTTGGATTATCCGAAATTCGCCTTCGTGACTCATCTCTTCTCAAGATCCTGCGTGCGGAGGAGTCCTTTCCCATTAGCCAAAGATATAATCGGGGAATCCTCTCTTTTCTCCCTTTTTCTTTCTTCGTCTAGCTATCAGAAGGCCCTTCAGGCAAAGATTAGGTGAAAAAACTGTGAAATATGGGAGAATCGGGAGGGAACCCCCCTCCCTTGTCCGGTTACGTTGCTCAAATCAAAATTATCTATTTAAATACTTTTTAAAACGTTTGATGTTGACTTTCTCCTCAACTTGAAGGACGAATCCAGAAAATTGCAGGAAAATGTCTGCGATGGTTGGAATGCTGCTTAGAAAAATTGAGGCCTTGGGGCCCAAAGGACCTTGCCCTTCACCCTTCACCTTACCCTTGCCTGGATAAGGGTTAAGACAGAGCGACACCTCTTGCCAGTGCTGTCGATCCAAGCATAAATGGGCCTTTATAAACTGAAAGCTTTCTGCAAACCATGAAGTCATGATCTGTATCACAATTAATTTCATTTCATTATCCCCCCCCCCTCCACACACCTCGGATGTTTTCGGAAAAGAATTCCAACAAAAAGGTACATATTGATTTGTTGATCACGTAGTGTCCTTTTTTTGTCGTTTGCATGAAAAATTAAATTCGCTGTCGTCAACTTAGACTTAACGTGCGGGGCTCCGGTTCCCGCTCCCGGATGTCGTGCTGGAGTTATACCGGATTCATGAATATTTCGGTCTTCGTGTCGTGCACCCTCAAGATACTCATTTAAAAATTAATCAGGAGCACCTTGATGACGCACAAATTGCTTTTTTTAATATTTATTTAATTATTTGTTAAGTACTGTTATAACTCTCGTCGAATGCATTGGCCAATTCCGTTTTGAAAATGAATTCGTACCGCCTTTAACGTGAACATTAGCACAATGTCATATCTGTCGTGGGAAATATATGATCACTTTCTTTCAAAAAACGGAACCGCAGATGGGGAAAATTTGTATCGAGGCGGGAAGACTACCTAGAGAAATATAGGGTCTATATTCGCACAACGGTGCAAATAAAGTCCTGCCCACATAATTACGAAGTCTCACTACTTTTACCCCTCCCCTCATAAATACCAGCTGGTCGGATCTATATTTTGGAGCATATTCCGTTCATACGGGTTAGGGTTATATGAAGAACCTCAGCGTGATTTAGCTATTATTATGAGGGAGTGGCACTATGCCGTTAAATTTGACGATTAACATATCGGATGCATAATTGCTGAACCATAAGCTCTCACAATCATCTAAGAATGAAGTAGACATGCAAGAACTATCACGCTGTCTCGCAATCGAAATTAGTCGCGCAAAGAACAAGGGTGAACTAGCATATCCCGATCACAAGCAAATACGAACCGTGTGCAGTGGTGGCACTCGCCTGGATGTTCCCGTTCGATTGGTTGCGTTCTAATTTTTCACGGAACACTTTATCTTATTGTGCCTCGCTGCGCGTGCACACGCCCTTGAAGGAGGTTCAACGTTACAAATTTGGAGTTGAGAAACCTGAAACCATACTAGTTCTAGGTGGTGCATTCCATCCGTAATGATGGTCACGGAGCACTTCCGTTGATTCAATAGCAATTTTCATTACTTTTTATCTCGTTCCCTTAAGATACTCAGCCGTCGCATTTAAAATGCAAATCATGGGAGTCTCACGCTTCATTACCGAAGGCACCGACGCTATACTCCAGGTTAATCGGTCCTGCCGGGGAAATGATCTTCGGCGAACGAGCCGCCTCGGCTAAAGCCAGCCATTCTACGAACTCGTGTTCCCATGGAAAGGACGACTGAGAATCGACTTTCGATTCCGAGAGACAACGTGCAAGGAGCTTCTTCGAAAATCCGGCGACGAAATGCACAAAATCCATGGTGTATGTTGCAATTAACAAGTAATGATGAGGTTCCATAGAGAATGCATGCGACTGAGTTCATGTTATTCCCATAGAAGCCAATTGGGAAAATTAATGCAATCAGTTTCACCAAAAAACTTCGCACTTGCACTTGACCCTATTTTTCTTCATGACAATCTCTCATGCTACCGATTGACCCCTTTCTTCGCAAGCGAGAAATCACGATTCTTCGTTTCTTTCTTAACGTTACTAACGGTATCATTTACTACCAATAGCTGAGGATGTTGAGTCATCTCCAGCTTCGAGAAGTAGCGGAGGCATGTAAACCGGAACTCGCCAAGGAAATCGTTGCTCACGAATGACGAAACGCCATAGGGAAAAGACAAATATGTTTCTATTCTCTAGCCGACAGTAGTTCCACTTCTCTCTGAAGAGAAACATCGGTGGCCACATGCTTACGCAAATTTTGTCATGACATCTTAATAATCCGTGTGAAAGCAGAAGTTCATGTTTCCACACAATCTTATGATGACTTTGTCGAGAAATGACATTCCATTATGACATTCCCAATACAATTTTTTCACGAATGGCTGCACTGGTTGCGAATGTGGTGCATTCCGCTGCAGTCCTAGAAGTGCCAGTGAATAATCTTGAGAAAAATAGATTCAGCAACATCAGGATGAGATATGCATGAACGAAGTGTGAAAAAGGGAGACATCTCGTTCAGGAACAAACTCACGAAAACGTCAATCGACACACAGTGTGATGACGCGCTGCTTAGACGGCCTTCACCTGCGAACCCAGACGATTCGACGCCCATCGATGCCAAGCAATTTCCCCAAGAAATACGAGAAGCGCCAGTCCGTATCCGACGAAGAGGATCACGAATAACCCGAGAAGGTGTTGGATTGTGAAGGATTGATGATCCCGTGGCACACGACGTCCGATATCGTCGAAGTTCAGCGTGTCAGGAACATCCACAGGACCTTTGATACCCAGTCGCCGATCATGGAGCCCCGACAGGAATCCCAGGTAAAGTTCCATGTCGTACCACCAACGCAGCAACCCGGCCCGTTCAAGACGGAGGATAGCATCGTTGAACTCATCCTCGTAGGGGCAATGCCGTTGGAGGATCATCACCTTTAGCATCATGTTCGCGTTTTGCGCCGATACGTGAAAGGGGATCTGTCCTTGAGCGTTCATGAGGTATCGATTGAATGTGCTGCTGGATACGGATCTTCCTGTGGCGAGGCAGTGTTTTCCTGGTTCTTTGACCATTCCACGGTAGGGAGTCAGAGTCCAGTAAGGATCGCGACCGTCGTTCGAATAGTATATCAGCCTGGCTTTCACCTTTGGATTATTGTCATAAAGACTATCGAATATCGGAATGCCAAGTGTACCATAACAGGTTATTTCCCTATCCTCAATGTCCTGCATGCTGTCCACCGGTGGATCGTACCCTGGAACTGCCATGTACGAGGTCAAGGTCTGAGAATAAATGCATGCAAAGATGAGGTATGCAAACAGTATGAGACTTCCTAGGGCGATCTGCAATCCGAAATCATCGGGTTGCCGATTTCTATTCCTCGATTGCAGAACCATGATCTGAAATGCATACCAACTGTCTACGCGGATCGTACCGAAAACCTGACAGGGCAAGGTAGAAAGCCATCCAAATATGACCATGGTCAGAACCAGGACAAGGACCAGGAGAAGCCAAGTCATAACATTGAATGGCTTGAAGACTCGTTTCCAGGGACTCCCCTCCATGGGCTTCGTAGTAATGAACTTGAGCCTCTCGATCCAATACGGGTTGGAATAGACGATATCCTTGCTGGTCCCGATGGTGGATCCAGAAATGACGAAATCCGCGGTTCTCGCCGCCACCAGGTCGTTCCTAACCGCCTCCACACCGCTCTCAATGAGGAGGAACTCCGAGACGAAGTTGAACTTGCGGGACAGGGCGCGGAGGACCTGTCCATCCAAACCTGAAAGTATTCTCGACTCGCCGCCACCAGGTCGTTCCTAACCGCCTCCACACCGCTCTCAATGAGGAGGAACTCCGAGACGAAGTTGAACTTGCGGGACAGGGCGCGGAGGACCTGTCCATCCAAACCTGAAAGTATTCTCGGTTTTTGAACACGCAACCACTTTTGCTGTCGATGCCAAGGCATTCGAGACATTAATAGGAAGTCTTACCTCTTGTTCTACGCCAGACTCACATCCTCACTGAGTAAACCCATATGGAATGAGCTGTGTTTGTTCCAAAATTCTATTTATATATTGACCTTTTCAATTTTTATTGATTTTGTTCAATGGACATCGATTGTCACGATGAAAAATTGATCCATTCGGAAAAACATGATTTGTCCTCTCTATGCAACTCGATTACGTATTCCGTTATATTCTGAGGACCGTGTTCTTCGCCCTATGGGAAATACAAACTTTTCCGAGGTTAGTCTGAAAAAAATTCTACAACTTCAAAATTAAGACAAATAATTCCAAAATGATTAAAACTAGAGGAATATTCCAGTAAGGAGCGTCAAACTATTAATATGTATTTTAAGCCTTTGGGAACATTTTTAAATAGAAAAATGTACTCTTAAAATAAAATTTAAATGTTCTACTTCTTCACATGACACAAACTATGTGTTCGTACTATAAATACCAGAAATTGAACTTTTTTTTGCACAACCCTCCTCCAATGCAAGTAATTCCACTCCAAATGCTTTGCTCCGATTACTAACAAGCTCACCTTCATATGTCTTGGTGCCGCTGGGGGATACCACGAGATAGCCATAAGGTGCAAGGGTTCTCATGGGTACCAAAACGTGTTTCCCGTAGAATTGACCCCGGAATGACTTCGGTAGTGTCAAAGTCTGGGTTCTCCGCAATGGACGATTCAGACTCCACGTTTTCAGTTTCTGCAAAGGAAGAAAACATCTAACTTGAATCCATAGAGTAAATTTATTTACCAGTATTTTATTATAATATATATATTTTAATGAGATGAGGAATACCTCGTGGGTGGTGTTCCCTTGTCGACAATAGAGGCAGACGGTGCTCAGTGTCAACTTTTGAGTCCATAACTGAAATGCGTAAACGTTATTGCTACGGTTCAAGCCGGGAAGGTGCCAAATGTCCTCTGGGAACTCGTCTCGGATCAAGAGAAACTTCTTCCGTTTAGAAGGAAAGAAATCTTGCTGAATGCCAGGGTCCTGATTCAGATCCAGAAGTTGGGACCGGTTCACACTGATGAAAAAGGCGACACAAGCCTGGCCCATGGAGTTTTTGACCATCCGGGCGACGACCGACGAAGAATTCCGCTCCGGGTCCCAGAGGTAAATGGAGTTGAGGGATTCCCCGAGGAATCCCCATGTTTCTTCCACAGGGATCGCGGCATACAGAGCGCAATCATCGCGGAGATCTCCTTTGATCACCTCCTTCAGTATCCTCCGCAAGTTTTCCCCAGGCAAGTCTTCCTTCGGAACAAGAGCTGCTCGACCGCAGCCGAGGAGAAACATCAGCCAGAGCATCCTCGAGGATACTGATGAATTTTCGAGAAGTCTCTGGTCTCCACCCCTTGATACGGAAAATTCATGGGGGATTTATATTCAATTTCAATTTGCATTTTGGAGACCGTGAAGCGAATGAAGTCTCCATTTCATCTGAATTCTTCATGAAATGAATCAGTTTTTCCTTTGTTCCTTTCGTTGGAAGCATTCGATTGCAATCATTTTTCCGGTGAAACATAGAGCTCAGAAATTACTGCGATCATCATCCTTAGTCGAGCCCTTCAGCAAAGTTTCCCCCTTCACTAAATCTTTCGTCCTCAGAGATCTTCAGTAGTTCTAGAAACGAGGAGAAAAAAATGGGCAGGTCAATTTAAAATTCCAGGAACAAAAAAAGTAACACGCTTATCGCAAGGGCAAAACAAGCTTCTTACAATCTTAGTCACCAGAGGCTTCAGCAGAGACTTTTTAATCTGTTGCGATTCCTAGAAAGCCGCATGGTTAATTAGGCCCAAAGGTAGCGATTTCTACTTTTTCTGGAATCTGGAAGAAGGCTCTTTTATCCTCATTTTGTTGGGAAGAACCCTGGTGTACTCACAAAGGAACGGGACTTGGTTTCGTAGCTCTGTGGGACAGTTTGTGGCTCTCTCTCATCGATTTTCTTCCGTGGACTGTCGACGGTCCTGGCGATTTCTCCCTTTATCAGGCAGTTCGGATGGCTGTTCCATTTGTGATGAAGATCACTGAGTGCCTTCCCACTCATGCAAAGGCAACATTCATTCGTTTCTTTTTAATCTCTTTGGCATGGAATATGCGGCGTCTCGCATTCAGGCGCTAGTCATGGAAGTCTCCCGTTCCATTATAGAAAGGCACCTACGCCATACTCCAGGTTAATAGACCCTCTGAGGGAAACGATTTTCTGCGAAACGCGCCCCCTCGACTAGAGACGTCATCGGGAAAAGCGAAAGATCATTCTATTTTCAAGCCGCTTTTGCTCCAATTTTCTACAAACGGAAACATTTTATAACCATAAATTTACCGTAATTTCGTTGTTGCAGTTAATGAATGCATCTGATGAAGCAGAACTTCCTGTTCGTTCAAAAAATGGACCATGAATTCGTGAGGAAATCATTTTCCATGACGACAACTTTCCCATTACAATTTTTTTGTCACACATGCCCGCACTGGTTGTGATCGATGTGTTTTGCTGAAGAGCTAAGAACACTCAAGTGTAATCTTGAGAAAAAATTCATCTTCCAACACCAGAAGACGATGTGCATCAACTGTCAAGAAGGGAAACGTCTGGTTCAGTACTGAGTCCGCCGAAACACCAATCGACACTACGTGTGACACCCCCAAAGGAGCCGCGCCGCAGGGCTTAGACGGCCTTTACCTTCGACACCAGCTGGCTCAAGAACCAATCGATGCCAAGCGATTTCTCCCAAGAGGACGAGAAGGTGTTCGATCGCGAACGGTTCGTGATCCCCTGGTCAGCCTGGAATCCCAGGTATGGGAAAAATAGTTCAACTTCAGTGGTGCCCAACTCGTGGCCCGTGAGGCCCTGACCCACGATAAATGCCCTTAGGTTTCCTTGAAATAGTCACCTACAATACGAGAGACTGGCCCGCGATGGCTATGGGAGTGAACTATGTGGCCCCTAGCCGGAAAGGTTGGGCACCACTGATCTACTTCTTGGGTGGTGTTCCCTCATTGACTTTTTGAGGTGCGCGGTTTCAACATGCGGCCGCTTATGGGAAACGCAAAAAAATTTTTGGTGCGAGTCAAGCTGGAGAGATCCCAAAATTACTCCGGGAAATAGTCCTGGATGAAAATTAAGTTCTTCTGTTCGAAGGCAAAGAAATCATTTTAAAAGTCTGATTCCCGGTTCAAATCTATAATTTGCGACCGGTTCGCCGGAGTTGAGGGTCTCCTCCGAGGATTTCCCAGGTTTCTTCCGCAGGAATACAGGGAGCGATACTCCAAGACGTTTTCATCAGGATCGTCTCTTCCGCCACCATCTGCAAGTTTTCCCCAGGCAGGTTTTCCTTCCGGGAGCTGCTCGGCCGCAGCTGAGGAGAAACGCCAGCAAGAATAATTTCAAAGATTCTCGGGAATTCCCCGGCCTCCATCCCTCATTCGGAAAATTCATGGGATATTTGTTTTCAATTTCCCTCTGCATTTTGCAGTCGATGAAGCGAGTCAGGTCCCCATTTCTTCAGAATTCCGCATGAAACGAATTCGTATTTCCTTTCCTCTTACCGTTGAAAGCACTCGTTGCAATTCCCGTTTTCCATTCGAAAATGGCGCTTAGAAAACAAATACAAACCCCACTTTCCTTGTCGGCTCTTGCAGCAAACCTCATTCCTTCAGCAAATTTACCTTTGC